ATTAAAAGTTTTGTAAATAATTTAATTTTTTTTTTTTTGAAAAATTTTATAGAAATTTAAATTGTTGAAAAAAAGGAAAATATCAATTAATGAGCAATTTTTAAAAATAATTGAATTTTGTAAAGTTTTCAAATTAAAATTTTTGAAAATCGGAATTTTACATACTTTTAATTAAAAATTCAAAGCAACTAATTTTTTCGAAAAGCTTAATCAAAATTTTTTATAATTATTTCAAGTTTTTATTTTCTAATTGAATTGTAAACAAATAATAAATTTGGAAAATTTCAAGAAGAATTTTATGTAGTTAAAAATTGCACAAAATAATAATTGAATTGGAATTATTAAAATATTGGTGTTTTTCAATAATTTTACAATTAAAGAAATTCGTAAATAAATTGTAATAGAAAATTTTTGTTGAGTTTCTAATAATTTTTAGAGTGAATCAGAATATTCTTTAGGGTCAGGGAAAATGAAAATTAAATTTTTATGGCAACCCCGTCTTCCCATAATTACATTTTTTCCATTATAATTTTTAGATTAGTCTCGGTCCTGGATTTCCCAAGGAAAGAGACATCGTTCTCAAAATAGAAATAATAAATATTCAGAGGGCAAAGGAAATGAAAATTCCCGAAGCAGAAAGTTCAATTTCGTCAAGTAAGGCTTCGATAATATCGAGAATGGCAAAAATGGGACAATCTATTCTTCCAAAAATTTCCATATCGACGACTACCGATTCAGATGACACTCAGGTTTATATATTTTCATTAAATTTAATTATTAAAATCACAGCTTTTTTCAAATTACTTTTTTCAAAATTTCTAAATGTAAATTAAATTTAAAAATAAATCATTTTTGTCAATTTTTAGGATGAGATAAAAAAAGAACGAACAATACGACACAGAAAGGTGAGATGAGAAGAATTTTCTCAAAACAGAAAAAATAGAAACACTAAATTTCAAAAGACGTGAATTAAAAATAAAAATATCAGTAATTATGATTAATAAATATTAATTGTGATTTTTAAACTAAAAAATTTATTAAAAATTTATTGTTAGGGAGAATTGCCAGAGACAAGTCCATCGAAAAAGCAATTTCAATCTAGTCACGAAATTACAGAAACTGGTAATCTTCACAAAGTTATTAAATCAAAAGTGACTTCATCGGTTCCTAATGTACAATCGTCATTGTATCCAGTCGTTTACACTCCACAATGGTCACCAACTCAAGTGCAGATAAAATTGAAAACAAATTAAAATATTAAATTAAATTAAATTAAATGGAAAATTAAATCAAAATTCAAAAACTAAATTAAAATTTGAATTTTTTAAATCAAAAATGTTAAATTAATTTCAATGATTTCTAGTCACAATATATGACGGTTGACGGTCAAACTTTTCCCATGGCACAACAATTCGTCACTCAAACAATGCCTGGAACATTAGATCCAAGTTTGAATATATTTTTAACTGAGTCAAGAACACAAAATGCCGAGATTCGAATGGGAATGTCAAAAATATCCGACAATATTCAACGATTATTGGATAAAGTAATTTTATTTTCAAAAATACCATTTTATTAATTAGTAAATCAATACCAATTCTCAACTTCATTGATTTTAGTTTCACGTCTTGGAACTTCAAAACGCTTCGTCACCGAGCAATGATAAAACAATGGAAAACACGTTGAAAATGATTCTCTCATTGAATTCACCAGAAACGAAAAATAATTCAATTATTACTTCTGGTAAACTTGAGGAAAGTAATAAAAGTCAATTGAATCAATTGCAAGAGAATATTTTAACCAAAGAAGAGGAACTGAAGACAATAAGAGGTATTTAGGAAAATATTGGATAGTGCTAATAATAATAATAATAATAATAATAATAATAATAATAATAATAATAATAATAATAATAATAATAATAATAATAATAATAATAATAATAATAATAATAATAATAATAATAATTTTAATAATAATTAATAATACCTAGGAATTAATAATAATATTGTAAAATTATTTTCAGAAATATCAAATAATGCCAACCAGGAAATAACGAAACTGAAAGAAGAAAAAAATAGTTTAGATCAAGTGAATCTGGAACTAAAGGAGAAAATATTAAGTTTAGAAACGAATCTATCAACGAAGAAACAAGAGTTCGATAATTTAAATACACTTCATGAAGCTGCCAGGGAAAATTTGAATGATTCTCAAAAGAGAAATTCCAATCTAGAGAGGGAAATTTTACAACTTCAATCTAATTGCAAATCTTTAGAAATTGCTGCAAGTACAAATCAAATGAAATCCACTTCTGTAAGTTTTCTCATTTTATTTTAAGAAAATAAAAATAAACACTATTAATTTACAATTACGTTTTTCTTTTCAGAAAAGTGATAAAAATAAAGAAGTGAAATTGATCATGAATAATACGTACCACACATTACTGTCAAAATTCATAGAAGACAATTATTCAACTAGTTTTATAAAAGAAACGATTGCTAACACGTTGAGGGTAAGAAATATTCAAAATACGTATAGAAAATTAATATTTTCATTGCCATTATTTTCAATTGACATTATTTTCATTTGCCACTATTTTTAATTGACATTATTTTCAATTGACATTATATTTATTTAACTTTTTTAATTTGACTTTTTAATTGACATTATTTTCAATTACCATTATTTTTATTTGCCATTAATTTTCAATTACCATTATTTTCATTTTCTAAACAATTCAATTATTTTTTTAAATATTAAAATCTTTACAAAAATTCAATTATTTTCAAAACATTTTTAATTGAATTCCTTGAAAGAATTCAATTTTTAAAACAAATTTCAACACATTTCGAAAAAATTCAATTTTTTTCTAAAATTTTAATAAATCCTTAGAAAAAATTCAATTATTTTTATAAATAGTAAAATTCTTGGCAAGAATTCAATTAATTTTATAAATATTAAAATTCTATATAACAATTAAATCACTTTCAAGGCAATTTATAAATATATATTCGTCAAAAAAATTGAAGGAATTCAATTATTTTGAAAAAATAATAAAATTCTTGTGATGAATATTCAATTATTTTCGAAACAACTTTAATTGAATTTCTCGAAAAAATTTCATTATTTTTGCAAAGATTTTACAATTTATAAAAATAATTAATTTGTTTCAAAGGATTTATTAAAATTTTAGAAAATAATTGAATTTTTCTTTAAAATATTAATAAAATTCTTTTTAAAAATTGAATACATTTATAAAATTAATTTTATTAATATTGTATTAAAAACGATTAAATATTACAATTTCAGAAAATATAAAATTTCCATAAAATTCAATTTCAACAAGAATTTAAAATTCTCTAAAAATAATTCAATTATTCTCAAAATATTTTTAAAAAATTCGATATAGAAATTAAATTATTTTCAAGGCAATTTTTAAATATATTCGTCAAAAAAAAAATTGAAAGAATTCAATTATTATCAAAAAATAATAAAATTCTTGTGATGAATATTCAATTATTTTGAATATACTTAATTTTAAGTAAAATTCTTAAAAGAAATTTAATAATTTTTGAAACAACTTTAATTGAATTTCTCGAAAAAATTTCATTATTTTCAAATATTTCTATAAAATTCTTCATAACAATTTATTCATTTCTTTAAATTTTAATAAATTCTTTGAAACATTTCAATTATATTTTTATAAATAGTACAATTCTTTGCAGAAATTCAATTCTTTTCAAAACAATTTTAATAGAATTCCTCGAAAAAATTTAAATTTTCAAATATTAACAAAAAATTAATTTATTTTCTAAAATTTTAATAAATTCTTCGAAACATTTCAATTATTTTTATAAATAGTATAATTCTTTGCAGAAATCCAATTATTTTCAATACAATTTTAATAAAATTCTTCTTCATAAAATCCAATTGCTATTTTAATTAATTAAATTAATTTTTAATTTTCAATTAAAATTATTAAAAAAGCTTCATTAGTTTAAAAAAAATTCAAAGAAATTCTTCAAAAGAATTCAATTAGTTTTTTTTAAATTTTAATAAAATTCTCTGCGAAAATTTAGTTATTTTTCTAAATAATAAAATTCACTGCGAGAATTCAGTTATTTTTCTGAATAATAAAATTCTTTGAAATAATTTTTAATTATCAAATTTTTTGATAAAATTCTTTGCAACAATTCGATGATTTTCAATGCATTAATTTTAAAATTGAAAATATTTGAAAAGAAAAATTATAAAAAAGTTTAGAAAGAAAAAAGTAAAGAATTAATTTATTAATATTATTATTAATTATTATTTAATTAATAATAATTTTAATAAAATTTATAATTTTTTAAAAACAGGACATAACTTTAAAAGTACTGAATAGCGATGAATGTGAGGAAGAATCGAGTGATAAAAAGAAAATGCATGAGAAAAATAGTCAATTACAGGAAACAGAGAGATTATCATCATCATCATCATCTTTAAAAGAAGACAACGAAGACACGAAAAACGATTTCAAATTAAATTCCGAGACGAATTTGAATAATTTTATTCAGGTAATTATTTGTTAAATAATTTTTTTCATTTTCATTGTATTCTAATACATTTCTATCAGATTTCTATATTGTAGATTGCTCCGGAATTTGAAAATGTACCACCGCCAATTCCACCACTGGATTCTAGTAATGAAGCCGATTTGAGCGATTTTTAACGTTGATATATGAGAAAATCGAGAAAAAAATTAATAAAAGAAGCTTTATATGTGATTTGTATAATTGAATAATAAACAAAATGTTTATATTCTTCTAAACACGAAACATAAACAATTTTTATTCTCAAAAAATAATCACGCACAAAATGTTCTTTAAGTAATTGAAAAATAAAATTAACTTAATATGAAAAATTCGAAATGCATTCGAAAGACAAAAAAAAAAAGAGAAGGTAACTTGAACTAAAAACACCAGAGAGATAAAGAAAAAAAAATAAAAAAATATTCAAAATGAAAATGAATTTTTAATTTTATTGCATGTTTATTGCTTGTTTTCCATTACGAAGAATTAATATTAACTGCGCACGTTTCTCTTTCAGCAAGCCGTTTTACTCTTCAAAGTATATAAAAGAAATCCTTTTCTCCACCACATCCTTATCACACGGTTTGAAAAAATTGACTTTTAATCATATTTTTCTACGAATAAAAGAAACAAAAGAAGAATCCAACTTCTCATTTCTTTTCCCCCACGATTCAATGAGACAAAAATTATTATCCAATTCTTTTCCTAGAAAACAATTAATATAATTTATTAAATGTAATAATAAATTAGAATAAATAAAAATTATCAATAAATCTGTAATTGGAGTACTAAATTTTCATTCACTATGTCAATTAATGTGAGAACGTAAATTTGAAGACATCTTTATTTCTCAATATTCCGACATTGATTAATTGCGCACTCTTGTCAGTTACAAATTCCCATCGTTAAATACTTGAACCTATAAACAAAATAAATAACAATTAATCAAAATAGAGAAACTAAAAATTATATTAAGTATGTTTTCTTAGAGTAAAAAAAAATTTTTTCTTACTCGTAATTTCTTTGTCAACATTTTCTATTCTTCTAAGGTTAATTTTAAATTTAAAAAAAAATTTTCAATAAAACAATGTTTCCATGAGAAGCCTACATATAGAGTTAAAAATAAGAGAAAAAAATATACCTATTTATTACTATAAACAATAATTAAACATTAAAACTAACCTCAAAATAAAATTCCAAGACAATATTTATCCTAATTAATTTTCCGAACTGGTGTCGCTCGTTCCCTTATGGTATGTGTCAAATTTATTATGACTTGACGTATGGTTGGAATTTTTAACCTAAAAAATAAAAACAATTTCAATATACCTTTAATATTAATTTGTGTGATTATCAAGATTTATATTGATAAACATAAATTTCAATAAATTTTTTTTTAATATTGTTATTTATAATTAATAAATTAATTATTTGTTATTTACTATATGTTATTATATATATTTATAATATTAAAAGTAAAACTAAAACTAACCTCAATGCACAATTTAATTTTCTTCTTCTTCTTACTGTCATATTTTGCACCTATAATTTAAACCTGAAAAAAAAATTAATTCGCATTAAAATAATTAAACTATTTATTTACTTATTTATTTATTCATTAAAAAACAATACTTATCTTAATTAATTATACAACACGTTTGTATATTCCATTCTGCACAGATTATCGTAAACAAAACAAAACTGCTTTACCAACAAATTCTTTATTTTGAAATTTGACACAACTATAGGTAATTTCACTTTCTGCATTATCGACTCGTGGTACGAGTTACCGAAAATATGCTTGAAATAGTTTGTACATCACCACGGCGCTAGTAGTACAAGCGCGCACTGGTGGGGACGCTCGAAGTGGTGGGGACACGGGTATATAAGCAGGCGCCCGAGACGAGACTGGCACTTCATGCTCAACTGTGTTACAGGTAAGCAATAGTACCAAAGCCTTGTTAAGGCAGACGAACTTAAGCTGTATTACAGCAAAGCCTTGTTAAGGCAGACGAACTTAAGCTGTATTACAGCAAAGCCTTATTAAGGCAAACGGACGTAAAGCTGTATTACAGCAAAGCCTTATTAAGGCAAACGGACGTAAAGCTGTATTACAGCAAAGCCTTATTAAGGCAAACGGACGTAAAGCTGTATTACAGCAAAGCCTTTTTAAGGCAGACGGACGTAAAGCTGTATTACAGCAAAGCCTTTTTAAGGCAGACGGACGTAAAGCTGTATTACAGCAAAGCCTTTTTAAGGCAGACGGGCGTAAAGCTGTATTACAGCAAAGCCTTATTAAGGCAAAACGGACGTAAAGCTGTATTACGGCAAAGCCTTATTAAGGCAAACGGACGTAAAGCTGTATTACAGCAAAGCCTTATTAAGGCAAACGGACGTAAAGCTGTATTACAGCAAAGCCTTATTAAGGCAGACGGACGTAAAGCTGTATTACAGCAAAGCCTTTTTAAGGCAGACGGACGTAAAGCTGTATTACAGCAAAGCCTTTTTAAGGCAGACGGGCGTAAAGCTGTATTACAGCAAAGCCTTATTAAGGCAGACGGACGTAAAGCTGTTTTACAGCAAAGCCTTATTAAGGCAGACGGACGTAAAGCTGTATTACAGCAAAGCCTTATTAAGGCAAAACGGACGTAAAGCTGTAATACGGCAAAGCCTTATTAAGGCAAACGGACGTAAAGCTGTATTACAGCAAAGCCTTATTAAGGCAAACGGACGTAAAGCTGTATTACAGCAAAGCCTTATTAAGGCAGACGGACGTAAAGCTGTATTACAGCAAAGCCTTTTTAAGGCAGACGGACGTAAAGCTGTATTACAGCAAAGCCTTTTTAAGGCAGACGGACGTAAAGCTGTATTACGGCAAAGCCTTATTAAGGCAAAACGGACGTTTTTTTTATTCGACAGTTTATTAAATAATCGTTGATAAAATAAGTCCCCGAGTGCAGTCCCATGGCATCGTTATTTGCTTTGCTTTTTGTAACTTGACTATTAAAAGAATTAATTTTAGAAACTTTATAAATTATTTATTCTCTACATTATATTATGCAGACTTTTTTCAAATTTCTATCAAAACTATAATTATTTTAATGAAAATTTTGTTAAATAATTCATCTTTTTGAAAATGATTTTCTCAAATAATTGATTATTTTCTAATTTCAAGACAATATAATTGAATTTCAAAGATTTTTTTTAAACTACTAATTGAATTTCGTTTTAAAGAATTTTATTATAATTTTTGTAAATAGTTGCTTGATCTCTAATAATTTGTGAATTTAATGTAATGGAAATTCTAAAATATATATATATATATATATTAACACAAGTAGTAGCTTGTAGTTGCTAAAATTTTAAAAAAATACCCAAATAGCCTAATTACAAAACCCAACGCAAAACGATGCTATTAGATTGCACCCTTATTATTTTGTCTTTTTAACAAATTTTTTTTAACAGAAATTCATGTACCAGTATCTACTGTATTGACATAATGAAGAGAAAACAACAATTGAGTTTAAAATGTTTGTGTTTAAAAGTTGTTTTTTGAAAAAATTTTATTTACATTTAAAATTAATAATTGTAATTTATTTGTTTATTCTTTATTTTTTCAGCAACAAATGAATCTCGTGAAGGACATTCTACCAGATTTTTCTACGGTAACTTACAGACACAAAAATCTGACGAAAATTTGACATTTTCTTCATCGTCATCAACTCCAAAGACAGAAGAGGCAGAACATCGAAAAGCAGAGAAAAAAACTTTTCGCTCGAGTGGAATATTCAGATTAAAATGTAAGTTTTTTAAAATTATTTTCTTCAAGTATTTGATTTAAATTGAGGAATTTTTAAATTTTAATTCTTTTGTTTCTTTTTAATTTTCAGCACCAACTAGATCTCGCGAAGAAATGTCTACCAGTTCAATTGGAAAGACTGAAAATGTGAAAGCTGGAATTCCGGAGAAACAATCTTTTACTTCCAGTGAAAGATTGAGTTTAAAATGTTAGTGTTTAACAGATGTATTTTAAAAATATTTTTATTTATATGTAAAGTTAACAATTGTAATTTATTTGTTTATTCTCTATTTTTTCAGCAACAAATGAATCTCGTGAAGGACATTCAACCAGATTCTTCTACGGAAACTCACAGACAAAAAAATCTGACGAAAATTTGACAGTTTCTCAATCACCAACAACTTCAATGACTGAGCAGGCTGAACCTCGAAAAGCAGAAAAGAAAACTTTTCGCTCGAGTGGAATATTCAGATTAAAATGTAAGTTTTTTAAAATTATTTTCTTCAAATATTTGATTTAAATTGAGGAATTTTTAAATTTTAATTCTTTTGTTTCTTTTTAATTTTCAGCACCAACTAGATCTCGCGAAGAAATGTCTACCAGTTCAATTGGAAAGACTGAAAATGTGAAAGCTGGAATTCCGGAGAAACAATCTTTTACTTCCAGTGAAAGATTGAGTTTAAAATGTTAGTGTTTAACAGATGAATTTAAAAAATTTTTTTATTTACATTTAAAATTAACAATTGTAATTTATTTGTTTATTCTCTATTTTTTCAGCAACAAATGAATCTCGTGAAGGACATTCTACCAGATTCTTCTACGGTAACTCACAGCCACAAAAATCTGACGAAAATTTGACATTTTCTTCATCGTCATCAACTTCAATGACTGAGCAGGCTGAACCTCGAAAAGCAGAGAAGAAAACTTTTCGCTCGAGTGGAATATTCAGATTAAAATGTAAGTTTTTTTAAAATTATTTTCTTCAAGTATTTGATTTAAATTAAGGAATTTTTTAATTTTAATTCTTTTGTTTCTTTTTAATTTTCAGCACCAACTAGATTTCGCGAAGAAATGTCTACCAGTTCAATTGGAAAGGCTGAAAATGTGAAATCTGGAATTCCGGAGAAACAATCATTTACTTCCAGTGAAAGATTGAGTTTAAAATGTTAGTGTTTAACAGATGAATTTAAAAAATTTTTTTATTTACATTTAAAATTAACAATTGTAATTTATTTGTTTATTCTCTATTTTTTCAGCAACAAATGAATCTCGTGAAGGACATTCTACCAGATTCTTCTACGGTAACTCACAGCCACAAAAATCTGACGAAAATTTGACATTTTCTTCATCGTCATCAACTTCAATGACTGAGCAGGCTGAACCTCGAAAAGCAGAGAAGAAAACTTTTCGCTCGAGTGGTATATTCAGATTAAAATGTAAGTTTTTTAAAATTATTTTCTTCAAGTATTTGATTTAAATTAAGGAATTTTTAATTTTAATTCTTTTGTTTCTTTTTAATTTTCAGCACCAACTAGATCTCGCGAAGAAGTGTGTGTCAGTTCGATTGGAAAGACTGAAGATCTAAAATCTGGAATTCCGGAGAAACAATTTTTCTCTTCTAGTGAAAGATTGAGTTTAAAATGTAAGTTTTTTAAAATTATTTTCTTCTAGTATTTGATTTAAATTAAGGAACTTTTTAATTTTAATTCTTTTGTTTCTTTTTAATTTTCAGCACCAACTAGATCTCGCGAAGAAATGTCTATCAGTTCAATTGGAAAGACTGAAAAGCAAATTTTGTCTTCGAGTAAAGGACCGGAAAAAAAAATTTCATTTCATAGTCAAAGATTAAGTTTGAAATGTAACCCTGCTGGAAGTAAAGAGATACAAAGAGATTAAAAAAAGGGGATAAAAAAAGATTAGAAAATATAATAGTTTGGAGATGCAAAATGGATACTTAAAAGAGATACAATTTTTTTATCTCTTTCTATAACTTTATATTTATATATCTTTTTATCCCTTCTAATCTCTTTATATACAGTTTTAGATATAGAAATATATAGAAAAAAATATATAGAAAGAGATAAAAAATTGGGGATGCAAAGTGGTGAATTAAAGAAGATAGAACTTTTTAATCTCTTTCTATTCATACATTTCTGTCTTCCTCTATCCATTTTCACATCCTTTCTAATCCAAAGGAAAGTAAAAAAGGAGATACCCCTTATAGAAGAAATCGATTAATTTCAATTAAAAACTTTCTCTATTGTTGTTAATTGAGTTTCTTAATCGGCGTGTTGTTTTAATTCATTACGATTAACTATAAAAAATTTGCAAGTAAATCTTTAATACATTTTTAGAAAAGTTTCGATGCTTTGTGAGTTTAAAACTAATTTTGGTTGTCTATTACTGATAAACATTTATTGGTTAAATATATTTACAATAAACTATAAAAATATGGAAGTTATAAACTCAAACAAAAACGTACAATCGCACAGTGCATAACACACGCTTTCTGATCTACGGATCTACTGACCCGACGCCATGACACATAACAGCTGGGAAGATCGACGCATGCGCGTATAAGTTTATGAGTATGTATATAGAAAGGGATATACTATAGTAGATTAGAAGAGATAATCTTATTATATCTCCTCAAATCCCCATATTCTTAACTATCCCTATCTCTTCTAAATAAAGTAATAGGAGATAGAATATGGGATTGAAAGAAGATTAAAAGAATAACATTCGGAAAAGAAGAATGATAAAAAGAAATAAAAAAGGTTTATAGTTTTGCAGTCTCGCATTTCTATCTTTTTCTATCTCAATAATGGGAATAATGGTAATAAATAAGTGTTAATAAGATCCTACATAAAAAGCGATGGAAGGGTATAAATAGGATATCAATAGTTATTAAGAATAGGTTATAAATGTGGAGAAAGAAGAGTATCAAGAACTTCTGTCATAAAAAGAGATAGAAGTTTATAGACAGGTTATTAAAAGGTATTGAGAATAGGTTATTAATAGGTATAAAGAATAGTCCCTGTTTAAAAAAATTATTAAAATGGATAGGATTTGATAGAATTTTCTTCCTTCACTCCTTGAAATTCGAATCCAATTTAATCAAATATTGAAAATCCAATCCACTTCTATCCAAAGTAGAAAATTAAATCCATTCCTATCATAAGTTTTGATGTATTATCTATCAAAGTTAATAATATACTAAAATTCAATATTTTACTATCAAGAGTTTGGATACGAATTCTATCAAATTCTATTAGTCGAAAAATCTTATAATTTTCTATCCATGAGTTTTGATTGAATACCTATCAAATTCTTTCCAAATGAAAATCTAATATTTCTCTATCCAAGATTTGGATACAAATTCTATCAAATTCTATGAGTCGAAAATTCTTATAGTTTTCTATCCATGAGTTTTGATTGAAGACCTATCAAATTCTTTCCAAATGAAAATCTAATATTTCTCTATCCAAGATTTGGATACAAATTCTATCAAATTCTATGAGTCGAAAATTCTTATAGTTTTCTATCCATGAGTTTTGATTGAAGACCTATCAAATTCTTTCCAAATGAAAATCTAATATTTCTCTATCCAAGGTTTGAATACAAATTCTATCAAATTCTATGAGTCGAAAATTCTTATAGTTTTCTATCCATGAGTTTTGATTGAATATCTATCAAATTCTTTCCAAATGAAAATCTAATATTTCTCTATCCAAGATTTGGATACGAATTCTATCAAATTCTATGAGTCGAAAATTCTTATAGTTTTCTATCCATGAGTTTTGATTGAAGACCTATCAAATTCTTTCCAAATGAAAATCTAATATTTCTCTATCCAAGATTTGGATACAAATTCTATCAAATTCTATGAGTCGAAAATTCTTATAGTTTTCTATCCATGAGTTTTGATTGAAGACCTATCAAATTCTTTCCAAATGAAAATCTAATATTTCTCTATCCAAGGTTTGAATACAAATTCTATCAAATTCTATGAGTCGAAAATTCTGATAGTTTTCTATCCATGAGTTTTGATTGAATATCTATCAAATTCTTTCCAAATGAAAATCTAATATTTCTCTATCCAAGATTTGGATACGAATTCTATCAAATTCTATGAGTCGAAAATTCTTATAGTTTTCTATCCATGAGTTTTGATTGAATACCTATCAAATTCTTTCCAAATGAAAATCTAATATTTCTCTATCCAAGATTTGGATACAAATTCTATCAAATTCTATGAGTTTAAAATTCTTATAGTTTTCTATCCATGAGTTTGGATTGAAGACCTATCAAATTCTTTCCAAATGAAAATCTAATATTTCTCTATCCAAGGTTTGGATACAAATTCTATCAAATTCTATTAGTCGAAAATTCTTATAGTTTTTTATCCATGAGTTTGGATTGAAGACCTATCAAATTCTTTCCAAATGAAAATCTAATATTTCTCTATCCAAGGTTTGGATACAAATTCTATCAAATTCTATTAGTCGAAAATTCTTATAGTTTTTTATCCATGAGTTTGGATTGAAGACCTATCAAATTCTTTCCAAATGAAAATCTAATATTTCTCTATCCAAGATTTGGATACAAATTCTATTAAATTCTATGAGTCTAAAAATCTTATAATTTTCTATCCATGAGTTTTGATTGAATACCTATATCAAATTCTTTCAACACGAAAATCTAATATTTCTCTATCAATGATTTGGATACAGTTTTTATCAAATCCTATTATTTAAAACGTCTTATAACTTTCTATCTATGAGTTTTGATAAAATACCTATTAATTTCCTTCCACATGGAATTTCCCTTTATTACTCTATCAAAAATTCTATTGTTCGAAAAATGTCCTAATTTTCTATTTATGAGTTATTATTAACCTTCCGTTGACACACTTCCTTTTATTTCACTGTTGACACTATGCTGGTCAATTTGACTATCATTATGACATTTGATAACACTTAGACAAAAAAAATATTAAAAATATATTTATAATAAAAATACTATATTTTAATTTTAAACTATCCTTAGTAGGATCGTTTTATATTAATATAAATTTTTAAAACAAAAGTTGATTTATAAATTGTTGATATACAGAAATTGTTAAAATATAAACATCATTCGGGTTGTTAAATGTTAAAAATGAAAATTATATTCAAGTTTTAAGATAATGAAAGGAAAAATACAGTGTTTTTTAATAATAAAACTTTAATTAAACAAAATTTTTTAAAATTATTTTTATACATTTTAATTACACACTGTGTCAAATTTTGTTGATTAAAAAATGTTACAATTTTCAATTCATGATGTTTCTATCAAATTCTATGAGTTTAAAAATCTTATCATTTTCTATCCTTGCGTTTGGATTGAAGACCTATCAAATTCTTTCCAAATGAGAATCCATTATTTTTCTATAAAAGATTTTGATACAAATTCTACCAAATTCTATTGATTGAAAAATCTTATAATTCTCTATTCATGAGTTATATTAAATATTTATGAAATCTTGTGTTCTTGAAGATCTATTATTTTTCATTATCTACATAACTATATATTTATATCAGAAAAATGAACTGAAATATTCAATTGTCTAATGCTTTTGATTGTAATTTTATTTACATAAATTTTATGAAACATTATTAAGAAATGGAAACGCACAAACATAACTTTTTTCTTTTACTTCTACTAACATCAATTTTTCTTTTATTTCATAAATAGGAATAACAATTACTTGTTTGCCTTTTTTGACAGGCAGCAAATGATTAACACTAAATGAGACCTGTCGATCAGTTTCCATACACATTTTTCTAGCATTAACGAGAACAGATGTTTCTGTTTCATAAATAAAACGTGTAATTTGGACAATAGAATTATTTTTTAACTTCACAATTGTGTCGTTGGTCTTTTTTGCTCGGGTATAATCAGTTCCGCAATATATTGAACCTTTATAAATACAGCGTGAATAAAAACATTCGTTTGAGCTTGGTCCTAAGAGTATTACATCTGCATCAGCAGTTACTCTTCGTACAGATTGTGTACATTGCTTTTTAAAAAAAAGAGTTTTACAAAATTCCGCAGCTGATTCAGATTGTGTTGTTTGTTTCCATAGGCATTTAAAGGAATTTCTTTGAAGAATTCGGTGGGCAATTTGATCATAAATACCTTTTGGACCAGTTACCTGCTTCTTTAAATAAAAAATTCCATTTTCGAATGGGAACGCTGATGTGGCCCATAGGGGTCCTGACATTTGAACAGATTGGACTAAATGAAGAAGTGTGTGAACATTAAATGTCATATTGCCTATGCCATACAATAATTCGAATTCTCCAACAAATTTCAAGAGGTCGTATTCACATTGTTGTAACTCTGCCGAAGTTATCGATTTTTGAAGAAGAACGAATATTGATTGTACCAACAATGAAGTATGTTTAATAATGTTAATACCTGTTTTTTTATCTGTTTGAGAGTCATTGTCTGGCAAAACGCATTCTAAACACGGTAGACAATAGAATAACAACCATGCTTGCCATTCAGAAGCCTTCCATTTTGCTTTAGCTGAAAAAGACCTAGGTAAACGGTGGATTTCATGAGATGGTGTTATATTAGAAAGTATTTCGTTTAATTTTTGACGTTGGTTCTTAGTAAAGTGCCAAGAAGAAGTACTTTCAGTCCATATTTGAAACAGTTGTTTAACAACACCAATTAAGACACCATGCATATATTCGCAGGGAAATCCCCAGACCATATTGAATGTCATTAACGTCATTAAACTGCTTATACCCTTCACTCCATTTATCCATTTTCCTGATTTTAAAGCTTCATTTGCGTCGGCAGTATGAGTTTCATTTGTTCTAACAGAGTCATCTTCTTCTTTCAAAATCGGATATCGTACACAGTTTTCTTCGTGCATTCCCATTGCGTAACACCAACTGCAACTACAATATCCATTAAATTGAACTCGATTTTGAATCACAGGACGAGCAACAGAGTCCACACAACACAATAGAGGTACAACTTTTATTTTAATATCTTGACCGTTCAAGTTCTTACAATGAAAACCTTCATGCATTAAAGGCAGTGTCTGATCTACAAATTTGTGCATGAAATATTGCATTTGTATTGGTGAAGGTTCTCGGCTATCTATACTTAATGCACAGAGAAGTGGATACTTAAATCTAATTTCAGGTGGAAGTTCATTTATATAACATTGCAAGGGCCAAAAGGATTTTTTAGAGCTGTGAAAAATTGGAGCACCATCAGTATTAAAGCATAATGTGATTGTAAATGAGGAAGTAATGTCTTGATCATCTGAAAGATTAATCAACTTTTTATACAACTTACCATCATAAACATCACGTATTACATTTAAGCCATCATTACATTTTTTTCGAATTTCTGTAGAATATTCCAAAAATGCCTTCTTGACATCTAAGTTTTTAAACAATAATTTCAATTGATATTCTAAGTCAATTGAGATAAAGTAGTTTGTTGATGACATTTTTAATTTGAAGCTCTGACTACACTTTTTGCAAGTAACTACTGTATTTTTAAATTCTTTTTTCGATGTACATGGAAACAAACATATACAACAAGTTGGACAGTAAAAATTGTACTTAATAACGCTGTCAGGAGCATCACATAATTGAGAAAACATGTATTTTGATAAACGCCATTCTTTAAATTCCGGCCCAGCTAAAACCTTTACCAAGTCAAGTAAAGCCATTCTAGCTGTATCAGACAGCGAGAAGCGTAAACAAAATCCTAATATCATGAAAAGAACATCAGAAACACAAAGTGCAGCTTTTGGAAACATAATTTCTGTTCCAAAATTGATAAGCTTAGAAAAGCCAATATCCGTTTCTTCCTTAAATTCAATTGGTTGCTCCGTATCTAATTCATCTACGCTGTCAGTGTCAGAATCTTGAAGACTTGACTCATTTCCAGAGGAAAAAGAATCGTCTGAATCTACAAAAATCGAACGGTGTAACTGATCGTTCGATTTTCCTTCTTCATTACATGTTTCCAGAATTCTTTGTTGCTCATTTATGAAGATAGAATCGTGTGCAGTATGCGATTCAGTTGCTCTATTATTTTCTTCAGTTATTACATCCGATTGTTCAGTTTCATTTGGAGAAGAAGGACCTAGTTAAAAAGTAAAAATAAATTTTATATTTTATGGTTTACTTCAACATTTTCATTTACAAGTAGCACTAAATATGGCCATGTATCATTAAGTCAAGCGTTATCATATATAATGTTATGTCAATATTGACTCAATATTGTTACACTGTAAAGATTGTGCTATTTGAGTTAATTTAAATTATTACAATATCCATATTTTATGTATCAGTTGAGAAATAAAAAAGAATACCGTAAAGTAGGTCATCATAGCAATAAGCATCTTGTGATCGCTGATTCCATCGAATACGTGTTTGTGTACTGACTTCATTTGGATTGTAATTTGGATCTAAATATTGTTTGTACCTTTTACGCTTCTTTAACTCCTTGTTTTGTTCAGTCATTTCTGAAATAGAAATAAATTTTAAATTACTTTCAATTTTCTTTTTTTTTTGAAGGCAATATTGCCGCAATGTTGTCCTCCAAGCGTAGCAATGTAACACTGCAATATTTCTACTAGCTTAAAATCTCTCACCTTTGCAACATTTTAAGGCAAGGATACCCTAATATTACACGGTAACCTTTCGGCAACATTATAATTATTTTTGCAAACTAACTCTAACACCATGCGACAACATCACAGCAATATTGACACAACATTACTAAGCTGCATCTACATAGCGAAAAAAAAGTGATACATGGCAATTTTTCGCGTCTGCGTCTGTCGTTTCTCACTTTTTTTCTTTATGTAGATACGGCTCTAAGTATCCAACATTGCGGCAATGTTTCCGCAAGGTTACGTTATTTCTGGGTGTAAGCATTAAAAACCGTTACAGATTAAATATTTTATTTAAAACAAATAAAGTAATGTTTATTTGAAGTAGATGTACTTATTAGTCTTAAATTAAAGAAATTATTAGCACTCAGTAAACAGTATATATTATATGTATATGTACACCGAGAGAAAAATTTTATTTAAACCAAATATATTTCATTTGAGTTAAATAAACGTATATTTGTCTACGAACAAACTAGACTTTTTATTTGTTTTAAATAACAATTTTATTCGACATAAATAAAACATACATTTGAGCTAAATAAAATTTATTTGAAAGAAATAAAAAGTCTAGTTAGTTTGGGCAACTAGTTTATTTGGATAAATTGGACACCTGCATATATATAATTGCATTAGTGTACTAATGCAAACAGTGAGAATAGTTAATATATTTAAGTAAAGTCCAGAATTTTTCTCGTTTTAAGTGAAAATATTTTAATTAGTAAAAAGGGTCAGGTTTTTATGTGAGTTCAGCCAGATAAAACTTTTATTTAGAAGCTAAATATATTCTATTTGAGTTAAATAGACATATACTTGTCTCAGAACCAAGTAGACTTTTTATTTGTCTTAAATAAAAAGTTTATTCGACATAAATAAAACATATGTTTGAGATAAATAAAAGATCTATAGTTAATTCTGGGCCAAATATACGTATTCTCTGGGTGTTCTTCAATATTTTAGTCCCGTATTTAAGAATTTTGTTGGAAAACATTGGCATTTATTAAAATCAAAAATCTATTTTAATTTTATTTGCTCTAAATATGAAATATATTTGACGAAAAAATAAAATTTATTCGACTCAAATAAAAATGTGTTTATTTAAAAGAAATATATTAGACCTGTGCAAAATAATTCGAACCGAACAGTTCGAATACACGGGTAATAATCGAGTTCTCGCGAAAAATTTAATTAAAGTTTATAAAAATCCCGTTTAAATTCTTTTGTAGAATATCTTTAAACTTTTTTAAAATAATGGAGTTTCTTTAATAGTTATAATTAAAAATTTTGAAAGTAATTGAATTACACAAAGATTTTTTTCAACTTTTTAAAATAATCGTGTCTGTTAATAATTTTAAATATTTGATTTTTAAAGTTTATTAAAATTGTATTGAAAATAATTGAATTCTTCCGGAGAATTTTAAATATTTATTTTTTTAAAAGTTTTTCTATTCATTTTATCATTTTTTATGTTTATTTTTTATAATATATAAAATATATGACAAAATAAACAAAAATTGTAAATCAAATATAAATTAAATAATTTAAATAAAAAAATATCTGTATAAAAATTACAATTCGGAACTTTTCGGCCCTGAATTTCATATTTGGAGCAAATAAAATAGATGTTTGATAGGGTAACTGCACCAATTGCCGAGGGTGCTCCAATTGTCGAGGATAATAATTTTTTTTTTTAGATAAATAGTATAATATATAATATTTAAGAACAAAAAAAATTTCTAAATAATCTTTGTATTTTCAACTGTATATTTATATATACAAATTTCGTAGCGATTCTACTAAAATAATTATTTAATTAATATTATAATTCACTGCTGTGAAATTTACATGAATCTCCATTTTCTTAATACTTCTGGTTGATTAAAACAGATTTTTAGAAATGCAAATTAAACGTATTTATAATGACTTTTTGTGTACAAAATTATTATTATAATTTTGTACACGAACTAAATTAATTTTGTATGCATGTTTTTTTGTTAAAAAAAAATATTTAATATTTTTTAAAAGCAAATCATCGGTATTTGGTTCCTTTTTTTTGACAGTTCCATTTTTCGAGGTAATGACTCGAAAATTGGTGTAGTCACTTTTTTCGCTGATGCACCATTTACACTGGTTTACAGTGAAATTGTCAATAAATATTAGTTTACATCCTTTAAATAAAATATTTTTTATAAAATAATTTTTTAAAATATACGTTTTTATTTAAAGTAACTAACTTTTTTCTCTGGATGTATGAAAAACTTTGTTAACCATATAAACCATTGTACGGTCCAGAGACAACTTTTTACTGCTGTCTTTCCTTATTTTTATTATCCCTAAATAGGCAGACTTAAGAGGAAAAGAAAACAAACAATAAAAATCGGTGCGTAATAGACCCTTACGGACCCCCCGTAGAATGGAATCAGTCTATTCAACGTTGCCTGGATAGTATTTTAACATAAGTGCTGTCCGGAAAATAATTTCTATAGATATTTGCTCGAACAGAAAGTATATCAATATAAAATACAAACTTTAAGAGTACAAGCATTTTGTTAGTTATTTCTCTACAGAGAAAAAAGTTAGTTATATTTTAGACAAAAATGAATTTTTTTAAACAATTTGTTACAAATAAATATTTTATTTAGAAAAAAAACTATTATTTATTTAAAATAGACGTACTTGTTAGTTTTAAATAAAAACAATTATTAGTATTTATAAAATAAATGTTTGTTTGATTTAAAATTGGACACATGCGTATAATGCAAACAGTGAAATGTTTTAATTTAAGAATTGAGGGTCCACGTGCAATAAGGGGATACGCATGGAAGTGAAAGTCCCCGCGTATAACGATTCTGCGGCTGTGCGAGAGGACAACGAATAGCCTGCGCGTCCCCTAATTGCACGTGAACCCTCAATTTGACTCGTATAAAGATGTAATAAAGAATAGTTAATAGTTTCTTAAAACGTTTTAAAATGTTTTATCTTCTAAAATAACGCATTGAAAACGTTTCATCTTATCTAAAAACGTTTTTAGAATATGAATCAGTTATATACACCCAGAGAAAAATGTTATTTAAACCAAATATATTTTATTTGAGTTAAATAAACGTATATTTGTCTCAGAACTTACTAGACTTTTTATTTATTTTAAATAAATATTTTATTCAACATAAATGAAACATTTTGAGCCAAATAAAACTTATTTGAAACAAATAAAGAGTCTAGTTAACACAGCACGCGTAGTTTTAATACAAATATTTTTAAAAAATGATTAAATACTTTACGATAAGATTTAAAAATTTTTTAAATAAATTTTCATTTTTAACAATGTATGTATGGATAATTTTTTTTCAAAATTTTTTGTAAGAAACTAGCACTATATTAACAATTTTTAAGCCTTGTCCGATCGTGGGTAAACGATGGGATCTATTTATTTTGAAATTTTTCATTTTTATATACGCAGTGGTGGCCAAATGACTAACTTGCCATTTGACCAAATCACACAAATTTTTCAGAGCAAATGTGTTTTCAGACTGAGTCTCTCCAAACTTAACCTTCTTTCTGTGTAAAATTGAGATTTGGTCAAATGACAAGTTTGGCCTACCGTTTTCACTGTGTATATAAAATTTAAAAATTTAAAAATAAATAGATCCCATCGTTTGCCCACGATCGGACAAGGCTTAAAAATTGTTAATTTAGTGCTAGTTTCTTACAAAAAATTTTGAAAAAAATTGATCGATACATACATTGTTAAAAATGAAATTTTATTTAAAAAATTTAAAAATCTTATCGTAAATTATTTAAAAATTTTTAAAAATATTTTTATTAAAAACTACGCGTGAGAATAAAACTTTTCATTTTTAAAACGTCCAATTTGACAAATTTTTGACCGAGTTATAAGCATTAAAAAAAATGTACGTAAAAAATGTCATTTTTTAAAAATCTGTATCTCCTAAACCGCTTTATGAAAAAATTTAAAAAAAAATCAAGGTAGCTCATTTTAAAGAGTACTAAAAGAAAAAAAAAATGTTTAAAAAAAATTTGAGATGCAAAAGCAAAATAATTTCCGATTTGGCGTGGAATGCCCCATATATAAATATCCAAAAAACGATTTATCATTGCTTGAACCAAAGATTGTAACTTACTTACAGTAAAAGCCACTAAAAATAAGTGCTAATTTTTTCATTTAAATTTTCAAAAATGTTAAACTTACCTTTTACTTTATATCCAATTCATTAGATAATATAAAGACACTTAAAATCACTAGTCAACTATCATTTCGGGCACCAACTTTGCTAAGCTACTTCTTCTTGTTGCGAATCGCGACTACAGTCAGTAAGTGTCTAGATTCATCACCGTTCTGAAGAAAATTTTGGAAGTTGCTTAATCCTACAAACATTGTCCCTTTACATTGGGAAAGTACTACCAGGTAGATGGTAGATGAATTGCAACAGGTGCAGAACAAATGTTTAGCTGCTGGAAAGAACTTGAGATCTTCTTTCCGACCGGACCGCTACTTTCTAAATTTGAATCAGTTAAAAATAACTGATTTAGAAGTAAAAAGTCAGTAACTAATTCAAATAGTAATATTGTTACTGATAATTAATTAAAAATAACTGATGTTTCAGTAAATGGTTTTTTGGTTGATTCAATTAATCAGGTGTAACTAATTTTTCATTTCTTTCTTACCAGGGACCGTCACGGAAATCAAATTTTGATTTCGTTACGATATTTCAAAACAAAACGAAATTATCAATGTATTTTGATTTTGATTCGGTAACGAAACAAAATTTACTTCCTATTTTGATTCTGATATTGTAATGAAACAAAATTTACTTCCTATTTTGATTTTGATTCGATAACTAAACAAAATTCACTTTATATTTTGATTCTGATACTGTGACGATACAAAATTTACTTCCTATTTTGATTCTGATACTGTAACGAAACAAAATTTACTTCCTATTTTGATTTCAATACTGTAACGAAACAAAATTTACTTCCTATTTTGATTCTGATACTGCAACGAAACAAAATTTACTTCCTATTTTGATTCTGATACTGTAATACTGTAATTCGGTTTTCTTATAGACACAGAAGTCGATTCGAATTCTACTTCAGATTTGGTATGTAAAAACGATATTATCTTCTGATATATTTGACATTTGCAACAAAATTTAGGTATTTTAGATATGCGTGTTAATGTTGCGTGTAAACTAAACTTGCTCAATAATTTAATGAGTACTTAACTCATGCACAGCATGCACAGTAATACTGTGTGTACTTTAGACATGCGCAGTAATGTTCAATGAGACTTATACATGCGCAGTAGTATTTTATCAAAATTAAAACAAAAAAGAATTTTGATTTTGATATTGGAATTAAAACTAAATAGAGTGGAATATTGATTTTGATATTGGAATCAAAACTAAATAGAGTGGAATTTTGATTTTGATACTGATGGAATCAAAACTAAATAGAGTGGAATTTTGATTTTGATATTGGAATCAGAACATAAACATAATTTATTTTTGATTCGGTTATCTGAATCAAAACTTAATAGAGAATAATTTTGATTCTGATACCCATATCCGAATCAAAACAAAAGTATTTTTTAATTTTGTTTTGATTCCGTGACGGTCCCTGTTTCTTACTGGAAATCAGTTATTTCTTAACTGGAAATCAGTTATTTTCAACTAATTCAGAAGCAAAAAGTTAGTCACTGATTGTCAGTTAAAACCATGTTTTTTAACTGATTCAAATTAAGAGAGTAAATTAAGCAGTGAGCGGACTAAAGGTTCTCACTGCTACCTGACTGGTATGATACCTTGCGACCGCGCGCTCGGCGAATTCTTTCCATCTGTCAATTACACACTACACATAGAAGGAATTTTAATGTAAAGAATCGAGTTTTAATTAAACAGGTACATCCAGAGAAAAGGTATATTTGGCTCAGAACCAACTAAACTTTTTATTTTTTTCAAATAAATTTTTTGCTTTAAAAAATGTTATTTGGCTCTAATGAGCCAAGTTCTGAGATAAATAAACGTTTATTTAACGCAAATATGTAATATATTTAGTTTAAATAACATTTTTCTCTTGGTGTACTAAAGATTACAATTTATGCATATTCACCTTCTTGTTTCTATATAAGTAATAACTTATTTTTGCTTCCTCACAGAAGAAGTATTGTAATACCAAAATTTTTCGAGATCGATTTTTTGACCTATCGTTATGTATTTAAATTATTTTCAACCGTAGATTGGAACAATGCAATATTGCATCACAAAATATAAGGAAAATACTAAAATAAAATGCATTACATTTACCATTTCCAATTAATTAACTTGGGAAAAAAGTACTTTGCATTTATGGTAAAAACGCTTTTTAGTCGATCCTCTCACACAGAGTTGGGATCTAACACAAACAATTCATATATCCGCTTCGGCCTACACGAAAAAGTTGGCTCATATAAAAGGAAATGTTTTTATATAAACCAATCGGCTTTTTAATATTGCATGTTAAAAAAATTGACTGTCTCACAACTGGAAGTGTCTCACAACTGAAGACACTCCAGAATGAGAGTACTTTGAGATAGATTAACCTTCGGAGAACACACCTCTTTTTTAGGTCATTTTTCAATGCTCAACCAATTTTGAACTGTTCATCTGCTTAACCTAAGGACTTTTTGAAAATATAGTTTAAACTCTATAAAATAAGTCTGTGTACTTTAAAATCCTTATAAAAAATATTAAACAATAGATAAAACGAGGGGGAATTTACTCAGGGAGTCAAGTGTACACTCTCCTGGTAATACTTGGTAATACTTGGTAATAGGTAATACCTAATAATACTTAGTAATGCCTGGTCATACGTACATTCTTTAAAAAACTGAAAAAATTTATTAGAATAAACATTTACATTTGTTATAAACAAATGATTCACTTATTAAACAAATAAATGGCTTATTTCTGCAAAAAGAAAAACTGTTTTTCTTGTTTTACGAGTTTAATGTCATGTAAAGCTCTACTTGATTATTGGTAACTAGATCACGCAATTATTCATGCAATTATTCTTAATAACAATGGTAATTATTAAATTCAAAATAATTTTTTAGCAAAATAGGCATAAATTACTTAAGTAAACATTTTGTTTGCAAAAAACAATTGTTTTATGAACAATGACCAAAGTTATCTATTTGTTAATTAATATTGTTTTCAACAATTTAAATAAATTGCATTATGCATATTATTATTTATCTGGTACACATACTAGACTAATTTAAATTGATTTCGATCATGTGCAATGGAAAAATAAAAAAATAAACATGATTTTTTCCAAAAATATTGTAAATTGTTAACTTTGAGTAACAAAAAAATATAAACAAATAAAAATTCAAAAATCGGTTTAGAGGAATCTGTTATAAATTTTATCTCCTTTAATTTAAATTTCATACTCGGAGACATTTAAAGAATATAATACAATTTTAATTTTTTTGTTAGGACGTGAAGAACATATTTCTTTATTAACATTTTATAAACAAATAATATAAAAAATTTTTAAAATTAAAGAAATATATTCAAATAGTGCAATTCAAGACGAAAATAATACATATTTTGATTTTTAAATCCGTCAACTGAAACTCAAAAAAAAAAAATTACTTGAAAATTCAAACCAATTCAAATGATATTTTTTTTATTTATGTTTTTAAAAAGAGACAATTCTCAATTAAATTATTATTGTCTTTTGTATGTACAAATTATTTAATTATTTATTTCACTGCGTTTCATTGTAGTTTTTATTTTAAATAAGATTTTTAAATAATTTTGTTGTAAATTCTACGTATAAGAAAGTGAAATTCAACGTGTTAAATTTTTGAATGCGGAAATATTTTAAAATAATAGGTAATACTTGGTAATAAGTGGTAATACTTGGTAATAATTGGTAATACTTGGTAATACTTAGTAATACTTAGTAATACTCGGTAACACTTGGTAATAATGATAATAAGTGGAACAGGGAGTCAAGTGTACACTATTTTTACTAGTAAATTCCCCTTCGGATAAAAAGCTTTTCGCAAAAAATCGTGGGGTCAAAATGACCCCATGTGTTCTCCGAGGGTTAATAAAATTTAACTACTTATATATTCTTTTGGGGTTTTTAATTTTTTTTAAAAAAAGTTTTTAAATATTAAAAATATGAAAAAATTTTGTTGAAAATGTAGAAGGAATAGGTGTTTATTTCGATATTTTAAAATGAGATGTAAGATGGTAAAATGCGGTATCTTAAACAAAAAGAAATGGTATTTTAACCAAATATATTTTATTTCAGTTAAATAACCGTATATTTGTTTGAGAACAAACTAGACTTTATTTGTTTCAAATAAAAAATTTTATTCCACATAAATAAACATATATTTGAGCCAAATACAATTTTATTTAAACCAAATATAAATTATTTTGTAACAAATAAAAGTCTAGTTGGTTCTGTGGCAAATATACCTTTTCTCTGGGTGGTGTGCATCTTAAAATAAAGATGTTTTCTAAAGCATCTTACTGAAATCTCAGATGATTATAATATATTATATAAGGTCAAGATATTTCTTATATCTTAAAAAAAGACGTTACTTGGACAAGTTTTTTAAACGTTCAACCAAAAACGTCTTAAATTAAGACGTTTTTGGTATCTAAGACACTAAAAACATCTCAAAATAAGACACCTCTTTTTGCAGTGTAATGTTACAGCAATGTCACTGTAATGTGACACTTTACTTCAAATAAAAACTAAATGATAACGATTACTAACAAAATTACTAACTTACTTACTAACTTATTTACTAATTAACTTACTAACCAACTTACTAACTTAGTTATTAACTGATTTATTTCAATTTTATTCAGATTTCTTCACGACTGAAAGCAGGTAGAAGAGTGCTCAAAGAGTATTCGGGCTTTCTCGTGTCACGAGAGTCACGAACGCGCTAAGTTCTATTCAAACTGTCTAAGCGGCCGGTTGTAACTTTTTGCGCTAAAAAAAAATTAATTTTTCTCTTTAAAAATGGATTACGCGTGTGCCAAATTTCATCTACCGTGTGTTCGACATAAAAGTTTAAGTGTTGTGGAAACAAAAAATGTGAAAAATTTTAGTGGTGATGAAGTTTTGCAGAAGAAAAATGTTCGAATTAGCTGTGGAGATGGATTTTGTTGTGCTATTTTACTTTTTATTGGAGGTAATTGTTTTATTACTTGCTTTATTATAATAAATTATATGTGTTAATAATTCTTCCAAAATATCAATTGAAATTTAAAAGACTGTCACTTGTTTACAATTTTCTACTTATTTTTTTACTGATAATTTTTTTCCTTTCAATTATTGCAGGTGTATTTTCTATTAATTTTCATCAACTTTTCAGTTATTCTCATAGTTCTCTAAGAGTATTTATTT